TTTGATGTGTTCGGGAATATCGTTCCTTGTCCAGGCCCACTGTTTGCCCTAAAAAGGAGCTCAGAGACCAAGCCTTTCTCATTTAAAAACACTAAACTTGACTTTAAAAAAGGGGCAATTAGGGAGCAACCTCGTAGGCGGAACTTCAAACGTGACACGTGGCCATTTCCTGTCAACGGAGCCCCAGCGGACTTCCTCTCAAGTCAAGTGGTTCCTGACACCAAGACCCATTCTGTGTGCCGTACCGACGGGGGCCACGTCAACTCAATCAGTTATAAAGTTCTGCACACATACACCTAATTGCTGAAATGTGGTTTTTTTTATTCTCCCCCTGGATGAGATTCAAATACAGCTGTTGTGCTTAATCTTCCAAGCAATAATCCTGAAACGTGATGTGCCAACTCCGTTCTAATGAGACCGAGTGATGTGAGACTGTTACTTCTGCAATCTCTGCGGACACCTGTGCCTCCCACATGTTCATGTACATATTAAAGGAAACGGTTTGTCTTCAGTGCACCAGTAAGAGAAAAGTCGGAACAAGAAGAAAAGTATGCCAATAATACAGCTGCAGCTAAAGTGTGATTGATGTGAGCTTGAGACTAAAGCCACATGGTGAAGGTGACCTCTGCACCCACCTTGTGCCATGCTAAGGCAACACCATTTCTTTACTTGTGCTAAAAAAAAAAGTTGGCTTTGCTAAATGTAGTTGCCGGTGGTTGCAGATCAATTCATTCACGGGACGTTTTCTTTTTACGTGCGTTTGCATTCTCAACTTTCATCATTTTGCCTCCAGGGGGACACAAAACAAAGGCTCCTCGATGTAATACATAATCCAATATGAATCGGAGCAATAATCGAGTGCCGAAGAAAACATTGGAGGGCTTGTCACTGTTTTGCATTGGGGACATTTGCCCTCGTGGGGGCCGTCAGGGGGGGGAAAACGGCGGGAAGAGAGCGAGCGCAGACAAGCGACAGAGAAGAAGGAAATTGTTGACAGACGTGGCCGACGAGCGAAAGCCAGAATACGGCAGCACTTTGTAAACACACCAGGCTTGTAATTAATAACTTCACGCATATTTAACATCGCCTTTATTCATGAGCATCTGCTCCCGATGACCTGGGGGGGGGGCGTGATTTAACCTGCATTATTTCATCTGCAGGGGAGAGACTGGATGTGGGAGCAAAGCATTTCATCTGAAACAGCTCGGTACCATTTGTTCGGACGGCGCCATCACTTGGTCATTTGTCTTTGTCGGATTAGACGGCGGATTGGTCCGATCTTCCCATTCAGCTGTCAGTCTTGTTGCAGCTGTATCTTGAGATAAATTAAATATCATGAAACATAATTGGCTGAAGTCCGTCCCTCGACTTTTTTCATATTTGCTTAAACCATCTCAGAACTATTTTAAAAGTTAGACTTTTAACACACGCTTGAAGGTTAAAAGTTTAAATATCAGACTATATTTTAGATTTAGAATTTTTGGTGCAACATGATGAAATTAGATATAACTTTGGAGTAAAAAGCTGACGTTTCAAGAGAGATTTAACTTATATAAATATATAAAAAAATTTTTTGGACAACATGATTTAAAGTGAAAAAAATCAATGCTCGTTCCAGTTTTAGCGTCACGAAAACATCAGACTTGTTGTTTCTGCATAACTAATAATCAGGAGAGACTCCTCTGTGGATAAAAGTGCGGACCCTGCCATCAAATATGACCTGTGACCTTTGTTATGTAATTCCTCATCTCCATCCCTCCCCACCGTGTAGTTAAATACGATCGGATCACTTCACCTAAATGTGCACGTCCTCGTGCATTTCGATGCACTACTTTTCAGGATTTGATAGAGCTCTTTCATTTCTATTGAACTTTTGCCACCGGAAAGAATTGCTTTGCTCCCCCGTAACTGAAAGAAATCAACTGCTCTCGACCGAAAACTACCGGGCCCACTCGCTGGATAGATCCGCTGTTAAAGAGTACAAATGGAATGTTTTATCCACGCTGACACCAAAGACAAATCTCAAAGGGGAATTGACATAATGGTTGAAGAAACGTTTAAAAAAAAAAAGAAGAAAGGAGTGGTTTAAAGCGGCCCATGGGCCACTTTGAAGTGCAGCAGACGGGGGCCTTTTTCAAACGCTCCCTGCACACCGAAATCCCAGGAGGAGACATTCGAAAGTGACTATTAGAATGTGAAGTAGACATTCAAGATATCGTCGATAATTCCGCTTTGGGGAGGGGGGACAATGCTTATTTGCTTCCTCGTCACAATCAGACTCAAAGATTGATACCACTCACGTAAGCACTAGCGGCTGATTAGCTTAGCACAAACACTCGGAGCGGGAAGGACCGGGGGGGGGCCCATCTCACGGTTTATCTGCTATGACGTGGGCGGGGGGGGGAAGGTATACCAACACGTTTACACCCAGGAGACAATAACAAACAAACGCACACAGTGTTTTAATGAAGTTCTGGGCAACAAGCGTCCCTCGTGTAATCCACAGCCCTGCAGCTTTAAACAAGTTCCATGAATATTCACCCATCAAAGGGAGCGATCCTATTTCTATCTAATTACGGCAATCTGTGTCATTTCCCTCCGGGGGGATAGCTGTATCGAGGCTGCAGGGAGGGGGAGCGGGCATTTGGTCACAGATGTGAAAATGATGAACACTTCTCGTCCTGGCTGAATATCCGAGTGAGCTCTGCCCATTTGAACCACAGCCCCCCGCCTGCTATGTGGAAGGAGCCCACTATTAGGAGACACACAATAGCAACAACAACCGCAAAGGTCATCGCTAGCAAGTTGCGTCCTCGCTGTTCTTACCGGTGTCCTCCATCCCCGTCATTGTAATTCCACCCGCGCAGCATCGCAGGTCTCTCCGCCGCTCTCTTTGGCCTCGGTTTGCCGCGGCGAACAGATGTTTCCCGAATGCCCGCGCAGATGTCTACGAGAGGAATTAAGCCATGCAAGACCATCCCGAGACATGTACCCAACACTCGCGGCCGCTTTTCTCGGAACTTCGGTCCTCAGCGGCGCCGGTTTGTCTCCCCTCGAGCTAGCTTATTAGCTTCAATTACACTCACCTGGCACCCCAGGTGTGTAAATCAGCCACTTATTGAGACGGCTGGAGATGAATTCAAAAGCACCGAATGAGAGGCTCACATTCTGCCTACGGGGAATGAACCATTCCTCAGGAACACAACCCGTCTGCGGGGTCCGGGGCCTGGCACCAGCTATTTGGGGATGAGACTCCATGCATCCTGCCTCGTCTATTTCTGTGTGTTTTCTCAGCCCTCTGAGAGGACAAACACACAATAAAAACAGCAATGGGGTAACAAAGGCCTCTCCCAATCAGCCTCGGTATCCTCCAAGCCGCCGCGTACAGGTCAGTCCTCTCATACGGCACTCTGGTAGTACGGGTAACATGTGTAGTCATCCCATGTTGCAGTAATCCTGCACGAGCCCCCCGAGAGGGAAGGACAACATCATTGGCCGGTGCCATCCCAAATCTTTCCACGGCATCATTTTGATTGATTGATTGATTCTGTTTCCTGATGTGACACATCCAGAGTGAAAGGTTGGATACGTTAGAGCACACAAACAACATGGTTAACAAGCCTTTGAAGGCCTCGCACAAATCCCCGTTGTTTTTTTTTGGTTTGTATATCATCAGAATAACATAAATACATGAGTGCATCGTGACAAGATGAAATGGTGACTTATCTGTCTAGCAGCCAGTGAGCATCCCGTCATGAATCGGGAGCTATTGCACAGGGGAGCCGTAACGCATTCATTGTTTTTGTTTTTTCTGTGTCATGTCACCATAATGGCACCACGTCAGCGGGCCCGTGAAGGAGGGCGGGACAGAACTCAGGTGAGACCCCGGCGGGCCTTTACGGCAGGTGTGGAATAGCTTCTGGTTCTACTACAGGACTCTTAAGATTAGGAGAATTTTATTTTATTCCTCGTGCACTGTTGTCTTGTCGTCTATTGTTACGCACCAACCGCCAAGTCAAATTCCTTGTATGTCTGAAATATTATGGCAATAAATGTTTCCTGATTCAAGTAGCGGCAGTAATTCTGATATGATCAGCATTTCTTTGATGTTGCTATAATGGTTTTCCCTGTAGAAGCAGGCGATAAGGGACCATTTTCAGTGATGGTTTGGACAAACACAGCGGACTCGGTAATTAGAGGCAACAAAACAGAGCGAGAATTATTGTGTCTAAAGATTATGGAGGCTGGTATGTGTGGGCTAAGCAAAGGCAAAATACAGATTATAAATTTACGCTACATCTGAGTGGGTGGGCCTCATTAACATATATTGAGTTGCTATGGATGTATTTTTAATAACGTACCGTTAAGTGAAATACCCTTGAGACAAATATGAACTTACAGCCTCTTCACAAAGTAAAGTTTACCAAGTGCCACGACAGACTAGCGGCTAAAGACCTTAAAATGTGAAGCATAGACGGGACATAGGACCATAATGTCTCAACAGGCAGAATAAAATATTCCAGATAATTCTTCATTTTGGACAGCATGTCATCTAAAAGATTAACATGATTTTTTATCCCCAACCATAAAAAAAAAAAAGAATATTTGCTCTACAGTGCCATGGCAACAGCTGTTCCTACACTGGCATATACATTCCTCCCCCAATAAGCCACAAGTGGAAAATGGTGCAATGTGGGCGCCACCTAGTGGTGTACAATGGTAACCGCACTACACAACTGATCAATCCATGACCAATAAATCACATCTATTTTCATTTCATCCATTTGAGGGCAGAATCCAGTGAAGCTCTCTCACCAACATTGGATAAAAACACAGCACACATGTTAAGGGACAAAGCTACTGGTGGTGCTTTAAATCCCATTTAAAAATAAAAACATTTCTGTTGTAAATACCCTGCTTACTTCCAGTACTTGAGTACAGCAGCTCTGCACCAGCACAAGGGTTACATGGACGATTTAATAAAAGGCAAAACAGGAAACTTTACAATATTACCAAGTAATAACTTTATTGATCTTTTATCAAAAATGTTCAAGTTTTCAGGACAAATGGCAACAGTACAATCAGTTGCTGACTGTTCTCTAGAAACAAGAAATACATATAAAACAACTGTAGTCACAGAAGCCAGTTTCAAGTATTGTCAACGGTAATATATATATACACACACACACACACACACACACACACACAATTTCTTACTTTCAACATTTCATTTGTAAAGAATAACTTGTGCATTGACAAACATTTTAAATACATTGTTGGCAGCACCAACTGATCTCAGGAGGTCTCTAAAAGGATTTTCTATGCGAGGCAACAGAAGAAGATAACATTAACCAACAAGAAACACATTGTGCAGAGTGCCATGTCACAAATAGTGCTTTCCAGTTGACAGAAAAAGCATTGTGATTAAGTTAGAGGTGGTTGCATTGTCCTCCATTTAGTACCATTTAAAACAGTCACATTTCCAGCTGCTGCCCTTTGGACAAATACTGTAGTGGTTTCTCCCGAACAAACACAACTACAGAAAAGATCTCGGGCCCCGTAGCACATATAAAATGATTGTGGGCAGCTACAAAGCACTTTTCACTGGGGTGTAGCCAGTTGGTTGGACAGTGTCTCGTCCTATTTGGTGTCCATGGAGAAGAGGACGGCGCATCCCATAATCCTCTGCAGCGCCTCAATACAGGGCACGATTGACTGGCTGTGCGACTGAGCCATATTCAACCTGGAGACAGAAAACACACAGAAGCCATCCGTCAGACATGTTGGACCTGGATACCTTCTCAATCCAACTCACAAAGACACGAAGATAACGACAGAACATTTAGTGAGCTAAACTATGTATGACAACACCGTTGCTTCATAGATCATCAAAAGCTAGTTGACAAAAAAGAAAACATGATTAGCTGTTTACTTCAGCTCTTCAATCTCACTTTAGCTGCTGCACTAGTTAAATGTCTGATAAGCACGTTATGAACCGTAGTGAGAGCTCAGTTAACACTTAAAAAACGTGAGCACTTACGTTCAAAAAGCGGCCGTACTGGACGCCAGTGGGACGCCTTCTGCTGGACATTTAAGTCGTAAATCGGCTGCAATCACACCAGCAAACTGAGCGGGATTTTTTTTAAAGGCGCTAAAGGGAGGTCTGGATTCCCCTGTGAGCTGTCCTCTGGTTTGAGAATTATTCCACATTTTATTAATGCCACAAAAAAGGAAAAAAAGAGTGACTTTATGGGTGAACAGGCACACCACTTAGAATCTGGTTCACTCTGACCTTCCAAATGGCAAAAGTTGAGTTTCACAGGCTTAAGCAAGCAAACTGAGCCGTTTACACGGTGTTTCACTGGACGAGTGTTCCCTCAATCCGACTAGAAAGATGCACTGAGCCCCACACGCGTACATGTACGGTTTGTTCACGTACCTTCTGAGCAGCTCGCGTCCTCTGTCGGGTCCCGGCTGGTGGTGCTGGAGAGCAGCGAGGCTGTTTGCTGCCAAAATATCGTAACACTGTTGTCGGAGAGCGTTGTGGTTCGCCGTATCCCAGTGCGGCAGCTCGCTGGTGTAGCGCCACGCCATCAATGTGTGCTCCAACACAGATTCCCACTCTTTGTTCCTCAGGAGAACCTGTCCCCATTCCTGACAGGAAACCTGAGGGGGGAGGGGGGTGATGAGGGGGCAATAGTTCTGGATTACACAATGACACCAAACTCAGTTAAATTATGGAGACCGGGTTGTTTTAATAGCACAATGAAAGAGCAGTAGTAGTTTGCTAAGAGAGCATGTACTCCTCCTTAAAATCTTACAATGAAATACATGCCTGCATTCTACAATAGTATAAAAGTACATTGGTCTGATTTCTAAAAAAAATAAAAAAATAAAAAAAGCGCCATCATATATGAGAACATGGTCCGACCACTGATACTCACTTTGAAAGCCACCAGGTGAGGATACGCTTTTCTGTAGCAGTGAGCGTCCCGGTTGGAGCCGAGCCGCGAGTACGGAATGGACCGGAAAACATTGGCTTTCTTTAGCTGCAGATCTTCCTGGAGATACTTCAGGTCCGACGTCAGGGTCCTGGGCTCCTGGCTCTAGCACGCAGAGCAACACGTCGATATTTAGGATTACATTGCATGTAGTGAAGGCCCAGATTTGGGTAGAAAACACATTTTAAATCTACTAAAATTTTGCGTGCTCCATCACTGTGCTCAATCTGGATGAATACCTGCTCAACCAAGATGAGCGACCTGATGAGCTGCACAAGCTGCTGTTTGGAGAGAGGCGCGTGGTGCTCCTCCATCTTCTCGCACTGCTGCTCCATCCTCCCACTCCACACGGCTCCGATCGACACGTCCACTGCAGAAGGAAAGAGGCTTTAGGATTACACGGACAAAAAGAAGCCACTCACAGTTATCAGCTACCAACATGAACAGAGCGAAACGAGCTTTCACTTGTCGGTCGGAAGGGGGGGGGGAGAAGAGAAGCTCCGCTCGTACTCACGCTGGGGGCCGCGCTTCGTGTTCGGGTTTCTCCCTCTCGGAAGCGGAGATGGAGCCAAACGAGCACTCAGGATCTCCAGGTAGGATCTCCTCATTCGAGCTGCGAGAAAGAAGGTCATCAAACAAACGGGTTCCTGAGAATATTCTCATCGATAGGATTCTCCCACCAATAGAAAAAACGTCAGGAAGCGCATCTTTTGCGGACTCACTGGATAGATGGAGATCGTTTTAATAAAGGATCATACTTTAGAAAGCGCACGTATTTAAATGTTTGCACACGTCGCGAGTGTTCGTCCTGTGGGCGCGAGCCGGTGATGGGAAGTGGCGCGTCCCGCTCAATGGGACCAAAACGGATACGGCGGGTGTTCGCCTTTAAAAAGCCGTCGGGTTCCTCGGTCTCACCTGCAATCTTGGGCTGGGGGGTCGGTATCTCCACCAAGGCGCGTCGTGGCTGACACACAGCGGCCATCGCAAGGCGAACGTCTCGGGACGCGGTGCTAACTGCTGTTAGCTGAACTTTAAACCCCCACGGGACGCCCCGAGAGTAACGTCGACTAAAACGCTACCTGGCTTCAGCTGGCGGACTCCTGCAGCTTCGGTTGTCTATTTTGACCTCGCGTGTACCCACTAAAAAGACTAAATTGTCGACTTAATTAAATAACCACAGCAACTACAAAATAAAAAAAAAATAGCAGCGGCTAAAGGATACACTCAAACTTTTGTCTGGTCCGCCGCCAATACAATGCTGATGAGGCGCGCGACACGAGTTGCCGCGCAGGCGTGGCTTTTGCTGCTCGAGGGGAGCTGATTGGTTAACGTCACTGCGTGTGTCGAACAAGCATCCAATAGCAACGGAGGGGGGCGGTGACGTGAGGACACAAGCTCGTGCACGCGTGGACGACACACTTTAGAAAGTTAAAACGTGTTTATCCAAAGCGTTCGTTATACGTGGATGGAGGATTTGTCATAGAGATGAAGAGTGAACATTAGAAGAAACTTGACTTCCTACAATTTAAAACTAATGTACTAATATTTTATTTTTTTATTGCTTAAATACTTGCTCACCAAGACCAGGTCAAATTGTGTGAGGTTGATTTTCCTTCCTTCCTGGCTGTTTTTTTTCTTTTAAATCATGTGCTGCCATATAGTCTGTGTGTTGGGAGTTTATCAAGCCCTAAGCAGCTTTTTTACTTAAAAAGCTATTCAGTTTGGTACAACAATATGGATATAAGATTAAATAACACTAGCTTGTAGCTTATGTCAATCATTCAAACCAAGAGACACATGGTGGGAGACGCGGACATATCTGTAAAATGTGTTTAATACGTTGGTGGATTATTGAAAAACAAAAAATAACAGGAATTTAATTTCTTCTCAAGAGACTTGACTGTATCTTGTCCGTCAAGCACAGAATTGGTCCAAAACAGGTAAAACACAAGTTTACAACAATTAGACATAATGAACACGGTAGTCAATCTGACATATTTCATGACAGAATGTTTTTCTCTAAATGATGAATGATTGTGTTGTAGGTCTAATATATTCCCTTTTGTGAGGATAGTTTATTATTTACTGTTTATTAGTTGAATATATATCCAAAAGGTAAATTATGAAGCTGTGGCGAATGCAGTGCAATGTCAACAAATCCAAAAAATGTTGCTCTTTTCCTACAAATAATACAATTCAATTGTAAAACACTAGTGTTGAAATAACCTCACCTTTACACAGTCATTTCAGAAATTAAACAGATTAAATCATGTGGTTACAGTGATACCAACCACCTCCTCACTGGACTGACAGTGATACATTTCTACAGGTACATTCTAAATATCTGTAGTAAAACTGCATTTCATGAACCGATTGAAATGAACGTGAATTAACTCCAGCCGCAAATTATGCCGAACTCGTTGGCTTCTTGGAACTGCTACGGCCAATAATATATTTATATTGATTGTATGTACATTTTATACATTTTGTTTTAAATAAGTTACATAATGCACAGGTAAAATTATATCTATTAGGTACATATATTCCAAAGGTTTGTGACAGTATGGCTTTGTGTATATACATTACAATATTGTCATCAGAAAAAAGCAAGTGCAGTCAGATAGCACTAACTCTCAGCATCGTTCTTTTCCCCGGTTTGAGTTATGTTAAACTGCCGCGTTAAGTTAAATCGCAGCTATTCTTAAACTATATCCATTTTGATATGAAGATCGCCCACACCGTGTGTGAAAAATGTACAGCTTCTTCAGCACAACCAAAAATAAAAAGATGCTTAAAGACAGACTAATACTGACTGCGTAGGCCACACTTAAAGCATAAAGAGTAGCCTCTACTTGCTAAGCAGCGTTTTAAGAGAGCGGGTGAGTGCGTTAGCAATGGCCGACATGGTGCTGGAGTGGCGGACCAGGGCTTTCACGCTGTGCTCCCCCGGCGCCCCCACGGTGGCCGCCTCGGCCGCTTTGAGCAGACAGATATAGTTCATAACGACCTCGTCGACCTTGGCCACAACCTCCCTCTGTTGGTGCGAGGCTGAGGCTCCGAGCCCCCTCACCAGACACATGCACGCTTCGCAGAGACAGCATAGCACCTGGAAGCTACAGGTCACGGCTAGCAGCATCTCCTCGGGACTGCCGTGGGCCTGCGCCATCCTCCGGCACGCCCGGCCCAACTCCTTCGACTCGACCGAGAGGAGCTGCTTGAACTGGGAGACGTCCTGCAGAGGCATCTGGGCCCCGCGATCGCAGCGGCCAACGCTGGACCTCACCAGGGCGATGAGCTCGCTGGCGTCGCGGCGTACGTCGCCGAAGCCCGACGGGAAGCAGTACATGCGGTCCTTCAGTGCGTTGATTCGCGCCAGGCGGTCGCTGAAGCTCATGTTGTTGAGGACCTCGCCGTACAGCTGCTCGCCAGCGACATCCACGGCTGAGCCACACGGCATTATGGCCGATGCCGCCGCACAGCCGTTCCCCATGTCGTCCCCGACGCGGCTTCGCCGCGGCCTCTCCCACTCGGTGTCGTCCTCCTCTCCCTCGCTCTTACGTTTGAAGAAGCAGTAGCTAAAAGGCCCATTGCACCTCCAGGGGCTGGTTTCCAGTTTTTGAGAGCCCTTGGCGTGTTTAGCGTCTTTCTGCAGCGGCAGTGCCACGGACGCCCTTCTGCTGCCCGTGGACCAGCACGTCTGGCAGGACACAGAGCCTTGGGAGTAGCTCTTGGAGAGCCGCTTCCTCGTCGGCCTCCGTTGGACTTTGCTCTCACCTTGCAGGGGCACAGATGGCGACAAGGGCTGCTGGCTCCGGCACCGGGTGGGCTTATCGAACAGAAGCTCCACACTCCCGGAACTGGCGGTCACGTTGCTGGAGCTGCGTTTGAGCTCCCTGCCCCGTTGCAGGCTATTGCAGCAGGGATCCGTCTGGGCTGGGTTCAGCGTGGCAGCCTGAATGTGGTTCTGACTCGGCCGGGACAGCATGGGATGGGCGGTCTCCTGCGCGCGTACCGAGTTGCCGGCGCTAGCGTTGGCTTGCGAGGAAAAAGACAACGGTGGAGGTGGGGGAGGAGGAGGAGGAGGTGGTGGAGGAGGGGGAGGTTTCGCGTTGGGAGTTGAAGATGTAATGCAAGCCCTATTGCCGGCACATGTCTGCCTGACAAAAGCTGAAGGGTGGTCTCTCCTCTCCCTAGTGAGACGCTGTTGAGGTCAGCCCGTTGACCACTTACACTGGGGGCAGCAGAGAAACAAAGAGAATCATTAGGACGAGAATGTGGCGACTGGCGAACTGCATGCTTTCCCCGCGGCTCTGACCTCGACCATTCCTCAGCGCTGCTACTAGGCTGGCTTCTCGACCGAGGCGGGGGGCGGTTAGCGGTCCCCCCGCCCTCGCCCTTTCCACCTGCAACGAATCCCCCGTCACGACTCATACAGCCCTCTCTCCTATACAGCGACAGGAAGGGCTCTGGGTCCATGCCACTCCTCTCTAGCTCGCTTTCCAGGCCAGAGAAGGAGCTTCTCCTCTCGGCAGTGGCCGGCGGGAAATCTAGACTGTCATTCAGTTTCTGAGCATGCATGTCAGAACTTCTCTTGAGGTTGGCGGGAAGTGTGGCAGAGTGGTACAACTGGGGGTTTCTACCTGCCAGCTGCGCGGTGTTGGCGTTGGGGGCGGCTAAATTTGGGCTGAGGAATGGGGATGATACGGATGAAGGCATACACGGGCAGCGGGGAACGGTGTTGCCCCTATTCTTTACCATCTCCACGAGCTGAGGGTTGCTCGTGATAAAGCGCCTGGTGTCCTTTTTTACTGCCCCTCCCAGGCCTGCACTGTGCAGCTTCCCTCCCTGATGCATCTGGCTGACTGTTAGATAGTTAATCAGTTGCCTGTAGGCCTCGCTGCCTTCCTTCTGGTTCAGCCCCTTTAAAGAGGCCTGTTGCTTAGCATGCAGATCATTCAGGGGCCTCTTGCTCACAGTACCTGTCGTCTCTTTATGCTTAGATGGTGTGGCCGAGGAGGGGCGGCCCGGTTCGGCCCCGCCAGCGGGAGGGTGAATGTTGGGCAGCATTTTCCGAAGCAGGGCGGGGTCTGCATGAGGGTGGAGGTCCCTTCCCTGACCGCTCTGGCTCGGGAGGCCTCGCGGGATTCCGGGTTTGCCGTCCTCATAGTTTAGCACCCTGATTAATGAGGAGGAGGAGCTCGAGAGCGGGTGCCTTTGCAAATGGTGTTTTGATTCAACCGCGCCGGGGCCGAGGGGCGAGTCGTTCGGGGTGCCGCAGGCGCTGCTGTTGGTGCTGCCGCCGGCGTCCAGCGACGAGCACAGAGAGCCCTGTAGCGAACTGTGGGCCTCCCCTTGCAAATTGGAAATCCTTTTGGCTAGGTGGTACTCGCACAACCGCGCGACACTCTGCTGTCTAGAAATCGGCTGATGGTCGTTTTGCACGTCCGACCCCTGGTCCGACCCCGCCGATCTGGATTTTGTGGTCTGGGACATCAGTGAGGCCACAACCAGATGCTCGTCCTGCTCAACAGCTGCGGCTCCGTTGTCTGCGCCGCAGTGCCCCACGGTGACGACGTCGGACAGGCGGTCGCAGCTGGCGGAAGGAGGGCGGGGGATCCTGTGGTGGTCGCGGGGGAGGCTGTTCACCGCCGCGCCTTCGGACGCGGCAGTCTCCTCCAAAAAAGAACTCTGTCTCCTTTGACCTTCCTCCCGCTCGCAGAATGAGGTGCGCTGGTCCATTTCGGGACGGCCGCGGCTCCCACCGCTCTCCCCCCGGTGCCCGTCCCTTGTGCTGAAGGTGTTGTACTTGCCACTCGAGTCCGCCGACTTTTTGTGGTGCTTGCCCCCCGGCGTGGTGGAACTCGGTCGCTGGAGGGTGGCTGAGAGTTTCGTCTGGGATCTCACCGCCAAGCTGTCGGGCCCCGATGAAGCGGTGTCCAAAAGAGGGCTGCGTCTCGGGGGGACGGCCGGAGGCTGAAGGTGGCGGTTCGGACTACGGGGTTTCTTCTGTATCGTCCCCGCTGTGTTTGGCGAGACGGGGAAATCCGTTTTCTCCTCAAGTAAAGGTTGGTAGCCTTCCCTCGTGGCCAACAGGAGACGCATGTGGCTCTCGTTGAGCCTGTGAGACGCCGCCAGTTCCGAGATTTCGGTCATCTCCGAGGAGTTGGTCTCATTGCCGGAATCTGAGGACGACTCCGGGCTGAAGCCTCGAGACGAGTACACACCTATAGGATAAGAGATGCAAAGTTAAATATGTGAAGAGGTCACAAAAAATACTAAATAAATACAAAAGTTTTTAAGCTTTTAACACAAATAAAATGCTGAACATTTCAATGCTCTAAATGAGGAAAAAGAGAGGCCGACGACCGCAGACTGAGACACAGGATTTATTGGTGTGGAAAGCAATGTCTAACACAGGTCCAGCTCTACTGTACAGACCTGGATTGCTACTGTTGGGGGGCGGCGGGGGGGGCCTCTGGTCTGAGACGGACAGAGCCTCCAGTGCTTGCAGAGTATGCATGACCGCATTCTCCAGCCTCCTCTCCCCTCCCCGGCTCCCTTCCCCCTCGCCCTGCGTTGGAACGGCATCGATGAGCGACACGGGGATGTCGTCGTTGCCGTGGGTGCTCAGCGGCCTCCCCTCCGGCGCCGCGTCCTCGTCGGAGCTGTCCCGGAAGCCCGGCGGAGGCGCGGCGATGGCGAGGTTGAGCGTCTGCAGCAGCGTGTCGTCCTCGTCGTCCATGACGCTGTCGTCTCCCTCGGGCGGGGGCAGCGACGTCAGGTCGATGATGTCGTCGGTGGAGCCGGAGAACGCCAAGAAGGCCGCCTGGCCGGCCGCCGCTGCCAGCCCGCCTCCCTGGCCTCCCCCGTCGTCGCCCACCGGCGTGCCCCCGATGGAGTCCTCTTCGCAGGAGGCGTCATCGTCGTCCTCCGCGTCGTCCGTTGTGTCGCGATAGAACAGATCCCGCAGCAGGGGCTCCTCGCCGCCTTCCTCCGTCAGGATGTTGCTGTAGACGTGCGTCAGACCAGCGAAATGAAATGGCGCCCGGTCGTGCGGCCGGAAGTCCGTGTTGTTGTGCGAGTAGGGTCGCCTCTGCTCGGGGGCCTCGGGGCTCTCCAACAGTCTGTCGTAGCCCGACTGCTTGGGCTGGCTCAAGGGGGGGTCCCCGCCAAATATGAACGACACTTTGGCGCTCCGAGGAGAGTCTTGAGGTTTGTGTCTGGTGGCGGGCGGAAGAGGAGGGGGCAGCGGACTCCTCCGCGTCCCGGGGTCCCTGTCGGTGTTCGGGGGTTCACGGAAGTAAGAAGAGATGCTGTTTTCTCTCCGCCCGTTGTTGGGATACTCAGAGTCCCTGTTGTAGACCTCTTCTTGGCTCTGGGACGCCTCCTCGTTGTCCCCCAGAGACGTGCTGTACGGCCATTCCAGGACACGATCCGGACCTGCAGACAGCAGCGATACACTTATTATTTGATGCGTTTTTATATTTTATGTTGATTGAATCTTAAAGTGGCTGCCTCCTTCCCACTAGTCCTTTGAGTGCTCCACTTTAAGGCCTTTGGGTTTTTTTTATGCTGCACAAAGCTTCAATTTTTCAAGCTTTGAGCATTTCCTCTCTACTTACGTTTTAAGGTTTCATGTTGAGTGTCCCTGTCAGCCCAAAGACACTCTACTCATTGTGTCCTTGGATAAAACTATGCTAGAAGCAGCACATTTTGCACCGTCTCGATAAAAGAATCGGAATGCTAATCGTAAACTTAACAACTCACCAGCGTCATCTCCTCCGGTGCTATTGCAGTAGGGCATGCTGAAGATAGATCTTCTCGAGTCCACTAGGAGGCGGTAGTAGCCCGCTGTGAGACAGGCCAAGTTCATCGCATCACTGGCTTCCATGATCAGCGTGATGGGCTGTTAAAAAAGAAAGAGAAGATGAACCACGGGCTGTATTATTTTGTGTTGGGCCGAAAATGACGCTCGCCGCCGCTTCCGTTTTCAGACAGAACTGCGCTCACCCTGACATCCAGAACGTGCAGCTCCAGCCGGACGTTGGTCTCGTCCTCGGTGAGGATCTCGATGCGGTTGACGTGGCTGAAGTCGGCCAGGAGGGCCACCAGGTTGGTCCGGGTGTTGATGACGTGACTGATGCCGTAACGGGGGCCCACGAGCAGCGTCACCTCGGTCTGCTTCTCCCCCTGCTACAGAAAGCAGTGCGGATGCATAACAGAGTTAAAAGTACTAAAAAAACCTTATTATTTAAAAAATAATGAACATAGTTGGAAAACAAATCATGGAAGGTTTGGCAAACTTGTACGAACCCTTTCCAGGACTAAAGTCCTTACCAAAAGTACAGAGTTGAACTCCCTCCCTCCGTAGAGTCGGAGCTCGCTGAGGTACCTCAGGTAATGCACCTTGGCCTGCAACGCAGTCAGCTGCACAAAGGGAAGAGAAATACATTAGTAAGCAGTCGAAACCAAATCACTTCAACCTGTAATGACACATTTGTAATGTCAGGATGTAAAGCACTCTCAAGCCATACTGATCCAGACCACTGATTTTCCATTATATCCCATCATGTTATTTAAATCTGATTAAAGCCTAAAGCGCTGCTTCACTGCAGTTCTCCGAGCGCCGTGCTTGTGTGGACTTTTAGGGTGAAAGGGAAATTGTATTTTAGCATTAAATAATGAGAACTATACATCCAGAACCCTACATATTGTTACTTCACCACTTCTCAACAGAGCCGGTTATTTGTTTTCACACACCTTTTTGTATTGTTACGTAATTGGCAAGTTGGGCGTGCTTGTATTTCGGGAGCATTTTTATTGTGTAACGCGGTTTGTGTGTCACATATCACGCTTCCTTCATCACCACTTACAAGAATCACCTTCTGATTGACTAACATGTTGTACATCCATCCGATGATGGACCTTCATTCAAAACAAGCGCCAGTCTAAAGGCTAATGGCATGTCTGACCTTGATCTCCGTTAAGCATAGTTTTGTTTGGGTGAAGTTCCCGCTCCACCAAACCTGAGAGAGACGTTCCTTTTGGCGAAGGCTAATATGGGGCGCTGATGTTTTGTCAGTTCTTTGGTATCCCTCGGCCGTGCGTCTCGCTAACGATCAGTGGGATCGGAGTCGGCTGTGAATGCAAATGATTCGCCAGCACATCGCACTGCTCGAGGCTGACAGGGAAGAGATCGATAAAGCGCTCGTATGCCAAAGACATTTTACTGACATTATACACACACTCTCTTTAATGTTAACTACATTCCATGCTCCACTAATAGAAGCTGTGTTAGGTAGATTTCATTGGGCTTAGAGCAATGCTAATGTTGCCTTTCAGGTGACAAACGCAATTGTATTTTCCGTCATTCTGCTAAACATCCAACAAAGTTCTTCCCCCAATCGCAGAGTAGCACAGCATCTATAAATAAACTCCCATATGTCCTTGACATTGGTTCGAGATCCAAATATCTGCTGCCCTCAGTTGAAAAGAGGCACTGCTGCAAGTGAATGCATAAAGAACAAATCTGATTCATCCATGTGTGTACAATATAGATATGAGATATGGAACTGAAGGATGAGACTGTCTGGTTAAAATTGTTTTGATCAAAATAAAGATACATAGAGACCTGAAAAACAGTGACACCATTGGGATATCATAATAATAAAAGAAATCTAGACTTAAAATGACCAAATTAGATCGCCTAAAGATCTGTAAACCTTAATAACTTTTTCTATTGTAACACGTATCCCCCTAGAAATGTGTTTTTACTCTCCGTCCTTTCCTACGTCGCTGCCCTGAGCTCATCTGTTACTACTGAAGATGTAAATCTTTAAAAAATAAGCTAAAATATATATTCACTTAAAAACAAACAAACAAAAAAGTAATTTTCCGAAAACAGCTGGGCTCTGCAGTTCTTAGATATGAGGAGTCATAACATCCAGCCGGGGTGAATACATATTTGGAGGGACAATTTATGGCGTCAGTGGGATCGACTCAGGATGAACTACAGGGCCCAAGTGCATCGCTATGACGCGCACTGTCACCAAGGGTTTTTAATCACAGTATAGCATTTCCTCATCCAACATATAATTCACTTTGGAAGCCCCCCCCCCCCCCCCACCCACTCACCCCCCATATGTTCCAACAGTCTAACTGAGATTCACTTGTGCAGCTAACCTTATTTGCATGACAGCTGATAGTAAATCACTTGCTTAAGTAAAAACTGTTTGCACGTTTAAACATGTGGAGACACTGTGAAGAGCCATTTATCCTCACATGTCAAAGTAAACGTGCGGGTTACAGTATGAACGCACGTCTCATTGAAAATAAAATTATATGCTGGAGTCGACAAGACGAGCGGGACACGTGCGTGAATATGAATATCTGATTATGCATATTGGCATTAGCATGCGTGGTCAGGCTCGACTCAGGGTCTCAGGTTGACAAAGGGTGAGAACCTTTACAAGGTCACAACATGGCAGCGCTGCTATTTTAGGGATATCACGTCACAAAAAAATGGACCCTGCGTGTGTGTGTGTGTCAGAAGTTTGCCAACAAGGGCAAAGAAAGACAAAGGGGGGCTGCTTACTTTTTTCCCTGGAGGCACGAGGTTCTGGTTGGTTTTTAGGATGTGCGTCAGAGCCTTCTTGATGTTTTTCTCCTTCATGCTGGAGAGCACGACGGGGGGCAGGAACAGCGGCAGACCCCACTCCTTTCTGTTAAGAGCGCATTGATTTCAGCAGAGTCACTCTGTCGGACCCGGGTTAAACGCCGTCAACAGCAGAAAGGATTCTAAGGTCAATGCCCCGTTTTCGATTAAGTCCCTTGCTTGTGCAAGTTATCAACACCCGTTTGTACGAGGGGTTTTTGCAGCAGGCCCAATGGATGCCATTTTTTTTCAGGAGAAAAGGACGACGAATCCCTAGGAAACCTTTGTGAAACCATCCCAGAAAAAGAGTCAGTTCTTATTATGTAGTATTGAGGGAGCAGCTCCAGGCTGTACAACAGTCTGACATTACAGATTATGTTTGGTATTGTCGAAAACACATCACTTTTCAGCCAAACTCACTGGATGTATTTCAGGGACACCTTCTGGCTCTGTCGGGTCGTCAGGGTGACGATGTACATCTGCAGAGCGGCCAGTCGCAGCGCCGCGTCGTACTTGAGCTCTGTGCCGAAGCGCTCCAGCACCACGTCGTTGCAACTCTACGGCAAAGCAGGAAGCATCGTTACACAAGGATCCCGTTTCAGCAAAGCTGAAATTAGTTGTTCCCAACCGTAGAGACTTCAGCTTCTGTCAGAAGGGATACAGTTTCAGGTCCCCGGTAAAGACCCGGATATACAAAATGATAAACTAAGGATCAGCTGTCCTTCTTTCAGGCTATTTTCATTTGAGTAATTATCACAGGAATTCTATGGTGAGGCAATCTATTATTCAAGAGAGTAGTTAAGACAAGTTGTATTTGCAGATTTTATTCACAAATTAAGATTTTTGTCATGACAACATCCATTTTATAACTTGAGTACCATTATGAATTTCCAAAACCACATGCAGGGTTCACAGAACCCGTTTCAGGACTTGGCTCACCTGTACATAGAGGTATTCAAACGCCACAGCGTCCCTCCGGAGCAGCTCCACGGGATCCCTGGGCACGAAGCTGAGCCGGAAAAAACACTTCATCTCCTCACAGCCGGGCCTCTGGGTCACCTGGGGTCACGGACAAGGTGGGAGACATGCAGGGAGAAAGAGATACAGAAGGGTCACAGATGAGCGGGGTGGAGAGATAAGTAGAATATTTCCATCTGACATGTATTCAAGCATTGAAGAACCAGCATCAAATATAAGTAATACTTCAGGATTCAGTTAAATGGCCTGGGTTACATTCCGAGGGTGGTGACTGTAACGTATTAAAACCACAGATTTGGTTATCTGCCTATTAGTTTCTCAAGACCACCCCGAGGCCGGTATCATCATTCTAATTTCGGTTGTTATTTCATGAAAGATTTAACGTGGTCGAGGGCGTGACTTAGTTTTTTCCTCTGTTGCACCCGTCACTGAGATTGACACTCGGCTGCATTACGGTGAAGTGAAGGATGCTTAAACTGCCGATGCGCTTGCCAAGTGCAGAGCTCCACATCTGAATATTACAGTTGTCCTCCTGTGATCTCACAACCTCATTAGAATGGAGTGGACACTGTGTGTGTGTGTGTGTGTGTGTGTGTGTGTGTGTGTAATGTGAGCTGTCGGCCCTTCTGTGCCAGTGCTGATAAATGCCACCGCGGTCCAGATGCTTTGTGAATACTAAGCAGGAATTTGTGTGTGTTTGTGTGCATGTCAGACAAAGAGAGTGAACGCAGAGGAAACATCTCTGACCTGAGTAAGCATCTCCTGCTCGTGGAGGAGAAGCAGTTTGCTTCCAGAGCCTTCCGTCCTGTGCTCCAGCACCAGGGAGAAGTGCTCGATGCATTTGATGGACAGCTTCTCTTGCAGGGTCAGAATCACGTCCTGAAGTAAATACACCACAAGTTGTTTTTTTAGTCACTTAAAACAGATAAGGGTGGGATATATATCATTCTTCAACAGAAACCCGTAACGTTGAATTAATAATCTCAGGGGACAAAATTGTTAAATTATCTCCCATTTATCTTTTATATTAACATATATTATACTCCAAGAGAAATAAATGTTTCCCTTTGTCTTCTTTTAGAGAATATATATCATTGGTATGTGGACCTCGTATCTGCAACCGTAATCAAATAAAGCCTCTTTATAGCATGCTAACACAAGTTCACCAGTTAACGGTTTTATCTCTTGCCATAGCTCTTAGTTAGCTCTCATAATTATGTGGATGTTTACCTGAACAGGTTTTTTGATAATTTGACAATGGAAATAAAATGTAAAATAATGCTGGTGTGTAACATTATGAGCTACATGATGACCGCAACATATAATAAGTATTAAGCATCTTCTTTAAAGCTTAATTTCTGGATTTTTCTTTTTCAGTCATCAGACAAAACATAGAAATTTATTGACAAAAGTAATCATTTCATCAAGGTCATCTATGGAGCAGTGTGGGTTCCAATGGCCTACGCGTCTAAGGGTTAAGAGGATAAAGTACATTTTATTAAATTACTACAGACTTGGTCACTCAAGCCGTGTGTGTGTTGAGGGGGTGGTGAGCCGCTCGGATCACACCCATGTTAATACTAGGCTTTCATTTTAACACACACACGCTTACCAGGTGAAGACCGCTGAGGAAAGGAGCAACTCAGCTCTTTTACTTCCTAGTTTACACGCTCGGAGCCACAACTGAATCTACGCTCTTCGCCACCTCGCCTGAATAAATGTGCCGCCCCAACAATCTGAACTCAAGCAGTGATTAAATTCCACAGTCGGTATGCATCCCAGAAGCACTCATTTGCACTCCGAACAAACTTTGTAATATTAGATGCAGCAGGGACTGCTAATCTCGCAAAGTGTGCCTCCGAGGGTTGGAGCACACAGAAACCCGCACCTTGATAGAAGTGCTGCTGTCGAAGCGAAAAGACTTTGTCTGCCCGTTCTCCAGGTAGACCTTCAGGACATTTGGCATGAACAGAAGCGAGTTGTCCTTCACCAGGTTCTGCAAAAGGATGAGTACCATCAGCCTTTTCATCCTGTTCATTTCACGTCCTTCTGACACAATACAGGTGATGTTTAATACGTGAATGGATTTTATTCAAGTACATCGATGTCATGATGTCACTCAACTGTCTGTCTTACGCGGTAACCATCTATCATTGCGTATATAGGTCATACACAAACGTGTGTGTGTGTGTGTGTGTGTGTGTGTGTGTGTGTACTGACTGGAACCTGGCCGTTTATAATGACCTCCTCTGCAAAGCGCACTTTGACCGGATTGGACTTGAGCATGGCTTTCTTGGCTGCACTGATGAACGCTGATTTAGGGGACTAGGAGGCAACGGTCCAAAGAGAGAGACAAGGGAGGCAAAGGGGGAGAAATAGACGGACAGATGGGGGGGAGAGAGATGAAGAGAAGCATAGATAAATACATGCACAACACAAACGAAAGGGGGGGGGGGGGGGGGGAAACAGCGGCTTGCCACATTAGCTGTACATTGGAGAAATCAATACAATTTCATTTTTCAAGCGAAAGGTAAAGAGAATTCAAAAAGGAATGTTAGCAACTAACCCGAGCATGAAACAGAGGACAATCAAAATGTTTAATATCTTAATGTATCGATTATTGTGATTGTTATTGTGACACATTGCACATACAGAGTGATCCTTCTGTGATACAACCCTTGTTGCTGATCTACTCACAGGATAGGGTTGGACGACAGTCAACACGATGGATTCTTTGCAGCTCCTGAAGCAAGAAGCAAGAACGAGGACAATGAATTACAAAGGAATGATGGTGAAACGACTATCGCCGCCAACAGCGATCGACAGATAAGCGAGAGGATCTCGATTAGCACGGCTGAAATGGACTCTCCGCTTACAAGCAAACACGGATGAACACGGACGAACAACTAACACACACACTCATTAGATCCCATTTAAAACTGTGATATCATCTGTGATGATCAAGATGAACTGAGTGCATCAAAATAGCAGAAAGCTCATTTTCAATTCAGAATTTGTATTCATCTGGATGGTATGCAATGATGAAAATGCTTGAGTGATAAGCACAGGTTTTAAGATTTCCAAATGATAATGACTGTTTTGATAAAGATATACATTAAACTTGCCATTTAAAACAGTTTTGTGTCTTATGTTTGATGTGCGGATTGGAATAAAAAAACACATACGGTTTCAGAGTCTGTGCATGAAGCTTTGGATTTAATAGCTTATGAAAGGGTCAGACAGACAACTAGTGCTTTAGATTGAGGTTATCCATAACCTTCACAAAAGGGTTTTTCGGGGGAGAGATTATCTTATTTCTCCACGAAATCCCTCACGTGATGAACCTGAACTGCAACAGCTTGGATTCTGACGGATCACAGCGCCCCTCCTCCCCCCCCGAGGGTTTCTGTAGTCACCTAACGAGGTCGATGACTCGTTCTCTGGGCGCCGATCCGACGGGTTCGTCGTTGATCATGATGATCTCATCGCCTGGCAGCAGCTTCCCCTCCGACGGACCACCTAGGCGAAACACAAACGCACGCGGGCCGTGGTCGATGACGGCGCACATCGAGAGTTTTTCGCTCCGTCAGCCAAAGTCTGGGAAATGAATCAGCCGAGGCTGAATGGACGGTGCATATCAATGTACCAGCTCGCGGCTCACGTGGCCGTGTCCGACTCCTGACACATGCATTGATGAACTGCCGCGTCCCAGAGCACATGCTGTATAATATACAAGGGTATTTGCCAACAACTGTCTATCCAATATTCATTGTTTCAACTGATTGGTTATTGAGATAATTTGTGTGTGTGTGTGTGTGTGTGTGTTGGCTGGCGGCTGGTAGCAGTAAATACACTGTGGAGAAAGAAAACTCCACATTCATTTGTGTTTATTGTCTTCCTTGCATGGTGTTAATTAGCCGTAGTTGTACAATCAAACAAGCCAAAAATCTGCTCGGCTTGCTTCTCAACGATCCCTACGGCGACTGTTTGCAGTGACAGGCGCGCCGCAGACACTGAGGAGGAACGGATAAAATCGCTCGGAGCAATCTTTCAACATGCAAACCCCTCCGGACGTATCAGGCCTTGCTTTCCGGCTTGTTAGTTAATCTTCTCTCAGTTGATCTATCGGTATCGTATGTTCAGTGTTGATGGTTCAGGCAATGAATACTGCTTTTCTAGCCGTCAGTCAAAAACGCATGCAGTTCAGTGCAGCAGTTGGCAAGTGAGTCACACAGGAAGGAAGGCTACATTGAACTTAGTCAAGGTGTATTAATGCACTTTAAGTGAAACCACTTGGTACTGGCGCAGGATAAACAGCCAAAGCCACGCCCGGTACGAGCGACAGCTTTGGTCGACATCTTTCTGGGGACTGGTGTATTGCAATGATCTACCTGCCCTTACAGAGGCCTACCTGGTGTTACAGAGCGGACCACCACCGGTTTCTCGCTTCCCGCCACGAAGCCGAAGCCAAGGACCGGGTCCCGTCTCATCTCCACCAGGCGGGGGGCGGGCGGGACCCCGTCCAGGTGGACCTCCTCCAGGGAGCTGCACTGGGACACTTGGCTGGGAAGAAGAAGAAGGAAAAAAGGGGAGGAGTATGAGTCAGCACATTGATTCTCTTCGACAAACGATTTAACGTTTAATCGGCTGAACCGCCCTGCAGTTTAAGGGGGAATCAATTTAATGATTATAATATGAGTGGACATTAAAAATTAAATCAATCCATTCATTCCTAAAATAGAAATTAGTTGTAGCTCTGAAAGAAAACATTAAATTGGGAGCGGATGATTTGAGCCATCCAATCAGCTGCTCAAGAATCAGAGCCCTGGCTCAGGTTTGGGCATTAGCACAACATGTTACGCTTTAGAGCTATTTATAGAGAGCACAGGCCGGAAGAGCATAAAATGCCAAAGATCTCAAATCTGAAATCAATTTGGTTCTTGCATCGATTCCGAAGTCTGCAGACTATTCTAAATTAAAGTGCACCAATCATTGAAATCAAGTCAGTTATTCAAACTGAGTGCGTAAAGCCAATGTCACATTACCACAATGTCATGTATGTAAATGCATGCTGAACAATACAAATAGTGAGTCTACAAAGACATCTTCGCTCTTTATCAAGTCATATTTACCCCCATTGTCATTCTCGTCATTGGCTATGTAACTCGTCTGTTTTTTCAAATGTAAAAAAAAAGCGATGTTAGCACAGGTTAATATTAGGGAAGTATCACATTGTCCTTTTCTTCACCTTAATGCATGTTACTCCATCTCTATTTCCACCCCCCGCCTCCTTCCTTCACAGCTCAAAACGCTCCCTTGGCAGGCGCTGCTTCCTCGCTGCACATTAGTTCCCGCACGGGCCGGCGTGTCCATTGTCACCGTGCCAGCGTCCATTCTAAACTGGCTGCCTCTCCTGCCCATAAAAATGCCTCATCGGCCCCAACCTTCAAACCGTCACATGTGTCTCATTTATTTGTAAAAACGCTAAAATGAAGTCCCTCTTTTAATTCATCAGGTAGCTATCTTACGTAGCTATCACATTCCATACACCTGCAGCGCTGCCTCAATACGCCCTGATGATTAAGCCCGTCCCAACCGACTTCAAGTCCAACAGGTCAGTCACACCCTCTGCGACCTTCTTTCCCACTTGCACTTTCTCATAATTTATCACATGAAAGGGGGGAGGTTATGGACTAAATCTCTCTGTAATAAAGCATGTTCCAATCTGCGATGGGGGCCCGTATTCTCCTTTAGGGTCAGTGGGTATTAATCCCATGGGAAGGCAGAGCTGCTATGGCATGAGGGTCAGCGGCAAGCTCAACCCGAAAAGGTCAAATCCTCTTGTTGTTGCTGTGCATCATGAAAGTATGGTACAATCACGCACACAATGCAACTCACCGTCACGCTCCTGCTTCTTGTAAATTTGAATTGTTCAAGATTTTTTTATCACTTACATTGACTGAATTTGTTCTCAATTGTTAACCGCTGATTCACATGATCAGGATGGAGCACTGATGACATGCATGAGTAGCGTCTCATCTGTATGGGATTATTTTAAGAAAAAGCCCAGTTACTGATGTTACATGCTAAGTATGTTTACCTAAAGGGGTTGAATGCACTTATCGAAGGTCACTTGAAAAAAGGCCCCCACTAAATGTCTTGACATATGAATGTAGTGATTACTGTTTGATTATCGCCCATTTTAACACGGGTAGATGAAATCCAGCGTTCTGATTAGTTGAGAGTGAGTGACGGGGGAAGTGCATTATTCAGCGATAATGTACAGTTGCTGTCGGTTTTTAGCTCGATGGCAATCGTCGAAAACAGACCGGAAACCCCACAAATGATCGGCTTCATTTGTCATGAAGCGACGTGAATGAATGAGATGGTGCGAGATCTTGCAAGGAGACCCAATGTAGTTTGTATTGGAGGGACTATTTTTCTCTAGGCTACTGGAATGCGACGTTTGGTGGCTAATACTATTTTGTGCTGAAGGCAGCTGTTTACTTAGTAGTTTATCATTTCGCCGGTAACCGTATTTAAGGGCCCGAACTGTTACACTATTGGACAATAAAGTACAGCCTCTCGTACCTTATTGCTTAAGTAAAGCACACATGGATAATCTTAAGATCACACACCACAAATAAGTTTACTCAACACACACTGTAAAAAAAATGATGTTCAATGTCAAAGGGTTGGAACTGATTTCTTATTTTCTTTGTTGTTGTTTTTTTTCTAAATTCCCATTTGATTCACAATACGTGCAAATAAATACAGCTTGGCAGCCACACTACAGGGAGTTGAAATTCACACATGAGTGGAGAATGACAGTGACAAACTCGCTGTTCATGTTTGCTGAGGTTAGGGAACATATCTGTCCAATAACCCGGCTTTAGTCGCTCTCTGGCTCTCTTGTCTTTACATCTCGCAGAAATCCAATCGGGACACTTGATCTGTGTCACCTCCAATAAAGCCAACAGCTTTTCTTTTGGAACAAGGCCACATATACAGCAGTCTCCCGTGTCATAAGTGACTCTCCCATCCAGAGGAGGGGGAGTGAAAAGGAGGAGGGAAGGGGATATGCAAGAAAACAGAAGCATAAAGGGATCTATCAGAGGATGCACGGTACTGTGTGTCGGCAGGAGAGCCGGAAGAAAGGAAACAAGACCAGACAGGATTGAAAACAATCCCAGTGTGCCAAGTGGTTAATTTGATCAGTGCTGCATTTGTGCAATGAAGAGCAGAAAACCAGACACGGGAGAGCACAGACCAAAGGAGGGGAATTGATGTCTCGGGGGTTAAAGCAAAGAGGAGTTCAGAAGACAAGAATAGGTTGGAGAGAAAAAGGAGGTGGCCGAAGGGAATAGATTAATCGATAAAAAAAAAAAAGGAAGCGACGAAATGGTGAAAACACTCCAGAGGGAAAGTATCAGCGAGAGAGAGGCAGTGGATAAGACAGCAAACAAGAAAAGGAGGTAAAGAACCAACCAGACATAATGCAGCCATCATCATTTCATTCAAAGAGTAGTTTCACCGCCACCCAAAGCCATTTGTGCATCCAAAAAGTTAATTGAATCACAGTAATAATCCCACACATGACACTCAGAGCCTCATCATCTCTATGTAGTGATTAAACGAGGTAGGTATAAAGGGCGGGAGTCGTGTTAACAACCTTTGAGCCCTGCACTGCGACTAATAACGCTGCTACGGGGATGACTGCACATCACACAAACACACGTGATCACATGACATGCGGATGTTTATGACCATGCTGCACGTACTTGGTGAGGCAGTCCCGTCCCTCCCTGGCACTGCTCATGCTGTCCCAGCTGTATGGAGGCCCCTGCAGTCCAGCCCAGGAGCCTGGGCCAGGGGGGGGCCAGCCGGACATTTTGTTCTTATGGCTGAAACATAAAGGACCGGCAAAATGAGCATTTGATTGTCACACATGGCCAAAAAATTTGTTTTATCCAGGTGTTGTGAAAGGTAATTGAGGTAAGTGAAGAAAACATTCACTTGATTTCTACGTAGTTTGCATTTTGTTGAAAAGAAGGATTGTTAAAGGACCAGTATCTTCATTCATAGCAGAGTGAACCTGTTGAGATCATTTTTAAGAGCCTAAAAGTCTCTCATTCCACCGTCCCATAGTGACTTTTAAGAAAAACAAGCTATTAACTTAAATGAAGCTACCGATTATTGTAATAGCTCCAACACATCTTCAAGTTGGAAGAGAAGATCCACAGGGAACGGCACTCATACATAAACATCCCGGCAAATGCATCTACTTAGACTATTCAAGAAAAGAATAGTCTATCCCGCCTGGATAAACCGCTCAGGGACCCTCTGGTAAGAGCCCTCTCGGCCCAATTAGCGTGACCTCTCGTCCCTCTGTGTGTGTGTGGCTTGCTTTGTGCAATCAATCGCGGTCAAATTAGCGCACTCGTTGGCCCGTTGATGGCCGATCAATGGCCGCGCGTACGCGCGAGAGAGCGCTGTGAAACCTGCACGGGTGCGCCGAGGAGAATCACTGATGCGACGGCCGATCCGGTTACCGCAGATTGCTCGAACGAACGATGTCTCCGAAGAACGGGGGGGAGGGGGGAGGGATTGAACAGGCCACCCTAATGAATCAACTGAAAATCAATCATAGAATCCACACATGCTACAGTGACTAATCACGCACGGGTTGTAATATACGAGTGCTGCATGAGATCATCAAGCCAGAGGAAAACGCCGCACCATATTGGGGTTATTTGGAGAACAGTCACTGCAGCCATCAACTATGAAGAGTTTATCATCCCGAGGTAATGCATAGCCGTGGTAGCAATGACTAGAATGATGGCATTTCTGTTACGCTGCAGGTGTACATCGGTCACGGCCCTTTCCTGCACTGATCACTGGGGCAAAGGCTGCAAATGCTTTAGATAGAAGAAAGAGCGTACTAGAGGAGGACGTCATCGCCGTAACAATCCAGCTGCTCGATTCCCATATTGTGCAGTTGATGGGCTGAAGACATCAGTCCGTCATGTCATAGCTCGCGGTGTGCGGGAAAAGAAAATGGGCTTTTAGAGACGTGCAAAAGGAGCTCCATCGGGGACCAGTGAGGCTGCTGGTGGAAGTGTCACAGCCGATCGCTCATCCTGCTGATCGGCTGTTGTGCAGAAGGAAAAAAATGGACTCGCCAGACGGTGGTGGTCTCACACCAAACACACATCATCCGTTCTTCCATTAACACCCTGCTGCAGAGGAAACAAAATAGAAGGTCCATTTCGGCGCCCGCGGGGGAGGGGGGGCTTTGGAGTTTGTTGCCGAGCGCACGCACTTCAGCCAGGACTCTCGCTCCTCGGTCATCCAAAAGACAAACAAAAAAACGCTGCAACTTCAGGAGCTCAACCGGAGGCTCTCGTGCTCAAACTGTACGGAGGCCGCGGCGGATCTCCAGGGTGCAACCAGACGCCGGTCCGTGTCCGTCGTGCTGCTGCTGCTGCTGCTGCTGCGGGGAGCAGCTTTGGTCCAAACTGAACTCAACTGCCGCGGCCTCGCCTCCTTTATCCCATAATCCTCCTCATCACAGAGAAAACAAATCCATGCTGTGTGTGTGTGAGAGAGAGACTATGAGTATTTGCGTGTATGTGTATGAGAGAGAGAGAGTGCATGTGTGTGTGTGTGTTTGTGTGTGCGTGTTTGTGTGTGGGGTAAGAGGCTTTTCAGAGAGCAACAACGTGTATGGAAACATCGCTCCATCTCTGAGCTGGAGGAAACTGACTCTTAAAGTTCACCTGGATGGCATTAATATTTTACTCTTCACTTTCCGTCCCATTCTGGTAAAAAAAGAAAAGAGTAATTTCTATGTCTACATGGGATAGAAAAGGGCAAAGCTATTTTCTACACGATGGAGGTCCTCCACATCATCAGCGTCACAGCCTGAATGCAAAACGCAGGGATTTAGATGGCGACCCGAGGCCAAGATGAACTGAAAGCGAGCACAAAATCAGTTCGCTCACAACAGTGAAAAGTGGCGGGGATGCTGCAAGCTCCTTTACACTTCATCTGTTTTTTTTCCCCTTTCCATGGTATTTTTTTAAAGTGCAAAAGGTAACTTGCTGAAGAATCCCTGTGGAGAAAGTCACAAACACAAAGAAGCATTTTCCCCTGCATCCCCATCACGAAAAGTTGCCTCAAACTTGCCGTCTCGACAAGAGACCTTTTCCACTATTTTCCCCCCGAAACTGACCCGTTTCCCTCCAACCTACCAGGGACTCGTGAATTCAAAAGAAGCCGATGCAGTGCTTCGTTCTTGCGCTTTCCTTTGATGGAAAGGTTCCTGTATTGACTTCAAAAAAGCATGTTTTCCTCCCGAATGATCAATGGATGACCCTCTCTTTCCCGCTGGGGATTGATCTCTCACTCCATCTGTCACCCACGCAGCACTAAAGCTAAACTTCATGACACAAGCTCAATCGATGCTTCGCGCCCCTCGATAAAAACGGGCCGACAAGAAGCATTTTTCTGTCAACGTGGAGCACAGGAGTTGAGGATTTTGTCACTAGTTTGTTAAACATAGTGACTCAGGTAGAATAAATTAAGAGGTTTCTATGTAATGGATTTAGGCACATTTTATCTTACGTAAGGGACTGATTTGAGGTGCCGCCTGGACAAGTCCTGCGCGGGCCTCAGCGTGGCAGATTTTCTTTTGCAGCGACGGTTTCGATTACTCATATTGATGTCAGACCTCCCCGATCACAGAACGCACACGTCCCCCAATCGCCGACCCCACGGGTGCGTGGTTATTCTCCCACATGCGGCAGCGCTGATTCCGATTGCTCGCGTCCAGTAGAGTAATCCATCACAGGGTTCAGCCGGGGGGAAATGCTTACAGAACTATACATATGAGCCTAATATGTAATAGTCCGCCCCAGCAGATTACAATCCCCTCTTTCTCGGACATTTGTTACATGTCATCAGTAAATAGGATTGCTTTCCATAGAGAAATTCTGCCACTCGAGAGCTGCTAGAAATAGTTGTTTTTGAGTCCAATGACTCAATGGCCAGAAAGGACGATGCTCTCAAATTAAGGGCAGGAACAGATGTTGCACGTAAAATTCATTCTTTTGCATGAATGTCATCAGGTCATCGCGTTTATGGCGCTTTTCTATCTGGGACTTTTCTATCTAACCCACTCTGCCACTGAACCGTTGAACACGCAAGCTGTCTCAAGGTCTCCTCACAGGAAAGCGACGAGCAGAAGGGGATCCGAGTCGCTGGTGCATGTCCGCGCTGATCTCCACCAGCCCCTTTACTTCACACAGTTTGAAGTGGGATTTAAACAAGACGCGGATCCAGCCAGAAGATTGAAGCAGTTTAAATGTGCGATTTCAAAATATTCAGGCTTGACCTTTTTCTAAAATAGACCACACACACACACACACACACACACACAGGCTTGTAAAACGCCTCAAGATCTTTATCAAGACTGACTGGCTTTGCACAAAAAGCGAAGCGCTTTAGCCTACATTACGACAATGCTCACAACAGCCATCGTCAATTCTCACCACTTCACTCTCAGCGGAACAACGAGGGTAATTAAAGCCCCTCGACTTGTTAGAAGCCCAGCTGCCGAGTGTCCTGCCTGCTGGTGGAGCGGAGGGACCCCTCTCAGCCTCTACCGACATGTGGGTTAAGTGGTGGGTGGAGTCTCTTCATTTCAACAGGTCAGCTGAGTCTATAATAAATAGTGTTCATTTTAAAGTGCTCTAAAATGACTGAAAATGCTTTTGCAAGATTGACTGAATAAAACAAAGTTTGTCATCTAGCGGGACTTGAAATGAGATGCAAAGAGGCGACTTTCTGCTCTGATTTCGAAAACAAAAAAAGAAAGCTCAGAAAATAGGAAAAAAAGGAAACAATAACTACCAGAACATTACAAATAGCAGAAAGCGACAGATTGATGCAGAAAAAAAAGACTTAAGCCGTATAAACGCTGCCAGATAACAGTTCACAGGTTAATTGCAGCGCGCGATAATAATACATGCAATCTGCTTCGGACAGACAAAGTGCATTTTGAGGTATGTTCGATTGGGGGTGGGGGGATTGACGCAAGCTGAGACACATCAACTTGTGTCATCCATCTGCTCTCATGATTAAAAAATGAAATAACATCAGGCGGCTTGATCGACAACACGTGCTGAGTTGCATCCAAAGCTGAAGTCAGTGGATTTGTGCAATTGTCCAAATTGGCACTGAGCAGTCACTTTCTGTTCGCTGGTGCGCTTTATTTGTAATTTTTAAATATTTTTAACTTTTATTCCTTAATTTTTAAACCAACCCATAGCCTTATATTACTAACCCATACATTACATTTTATTTTCTTCCTCTTGCACTGTTGTCTTGTCGCCCATTGACGTACTGCACCAACCGCAAGTCAAATTCCTTGTATGTCTGACGTATTATAGCAATAAATGTTTCCTGATTCCTGATTCACTAGAAATGTCCTAATTGCCTTGCTAATGGAGCAGCTTTCCTCCCGGTCTTACTGATCACGCTCATTAAAGTCCCAAGTTAACACACTCACAGCTCCTAGCGAGGCGACTGCAGCCGTGGCTTGACCTTCTTCTCGTCCAATCCTCGGCCTCGAATCCATTCGCCGGCTTTTTGCGCGTTCTCGGCGCCGCTCCACGCAGCTCATGAATGAATCATTGGCACACGTTGTTAACAGTCGACCTGGGAGTGCTCTTGTTTTATATAGCTTTACTATCCGAAGACAACATGCTTCGGCTCTCAACAAGCGGGGGGAGCGTACACGAGTGTGTTTATGTAACACACTCGAAACATTCTGCTTGCTCTCCGAAACATCTCGCAGAGTGCCGACGTTTGCTAAACAAGCACAATGGAAAGCAAAAAATAA